TCTATCTATCTATCTATCTATCTATCTATCTATCTATCTATCTATCTCCCCTCTCTCTCTCCCTCTCTTTCCTCCCCTCTCTCCAGTCTGACAGCAATCTCTTCCAGTAGAAATTTGTTTCTTTAAAGTCCTCTGAATGCCTTTGCTGACTCAGGCCTGTTGGCAAAGCGCTTGCCTTGTAAGCATAAGCATCTGAATTTGAGCCTCAGAACCCACGTTTTTACAAGCCAGGTGTGGTCTAATCCCCCCGCTGGGGAGGGAGACAGAGACAGAGCCGGTTTCCTGGAGATCCTGGCCAGCTAGTCTACTATGTTTTAGTGAGTTCCGGATCAGTGAGAGGCCCTGTCTAATCAACAAAAGCAGACAGTGCCTGGGGAACAATACCAGAGCCTGGTCTTTGTCCTAGGTACTCCTGCTTGCATACACAGGCAGGCTCCCCTGCACACTCACATGTAACTGCACACACTTGAACACACACACAAACACACATATACAAACACGCTTAAACAAAGGTTCACTGAAAGTATGCCATTTCATTACATTGCAGTTAAGACTTTAACTCTACTTATAAACAAATTCCTTTCAAATTTCACAAATAAAAATACACTATATGCATCTATGAAATTCTCAAAGTTCTCAAACAAAAATTACAGAAGAAATATATATATTCCTAGTTATTGAAGAAAAGCAGATTACTTGTGTCAGACAAGATGACTCAGCAGGTACAGGAACTTGCCACCAAGCCTGATATCCTGAGACTCATCCACAGGAAGAGAAAATCAGTTCTTGCAAGTTATCCTCTGACCTCTGCCCAGGCACTCATACTTATACCCAAACATGATAAATAAATAGACTTTAATAAAATAAATAAAAACAGATTACTTTCTTTGTCAATTATTAAAAATTCTTTTCAACCAACCTGGCATTGGTGGCTCATACCTTTGATCTAGGCACTTGAAATGGCCGAGGGAGGTGGATCTCTGAATTCAAGGCCAGCTTGGTCTACAAAATGAGTTTCATGACAGCCTAGCTACACAGAGAAACCAAACAAACAAAAACAAAAAACTTTTCAAATCATCATGTTAAATTAGCAAGCCTGAATAACAAAAATCAGCCAATGGGCACCAAAACCTCAGTTTTTGGGCTGGTTTCATGAGGACATAGACACAGCCACCCATTTATCACCCTTACTTTTGTGCTTCAGCAGCAGAGTGGAGTATTTGCACTGGGAACAGGTGTGTAGGCCTCAAACTCTGAGCTCTTTAGGGTCTGACTCTTTGCAGGAAGCATGCAGGACACTGCTTTACACGTGCAAGGCAACGCTCTAGTGGTTTCACATCTCTCCACTCGTTTCATCATCACCACTGCCCACTGAATCAGCTTTGCCTATCATCCTGCATCTATGAAGGAAGAGATGAAGAATGCCTGTTGGGCTGATCATAAGTCAGTGGGGGAGGATTGCTTCTACTAACTCAAAACTATTATTAAATTAACGGCATTGAAAGTTGTACAAGTCTTAACTTCTTTTCCAAATCTTCCGATTATCAGTTTTTAATCAAAATGACTCTCAGAGGTCACTCAGTCTTCCTTTGCCTCTGGGTGTCTTGAACATGAAGCTAGCACAGAGCAACTTTCCAGGGTTGTTCACTCAAAACAACAGTTTGCAGACTGCCTGCTTCAAAGAACCTCACAGTTCTCATAACTTTTCAAACATAAAAAAAAATAATAATAATAGCCTGCTCAGTTGGGATTTTTGCTGTTTCATCAAACTTGGGAGCCGTGAGTTTGGAAAAGAGAGCACAAGCATTGTGTGGGGGAAAGAGAGAAAGAGATAGAAGGAAGAGGAGGAAGAGAAAGAGAGAGGCTAGCTGCTTTCAACCAGGTGTGCTAACACACATTTGTAATCCTGGGACTCAAAAAGCTGGGAGAGGGAGACAGCATGTTGGAAGCCATCCTGGGCTACATAGCATGACCCTGATCCAAAACAGAAAGAGAGAGAGACACACACAGAGAGAGACAGAGAATCAGAGACAGAGACAGAGAGACTAAAGGGAAGGGGAAAATAGGGAAAGGAAGGGGAGGGGAGGGAAGAAAGGGGAGGGGAGGGGAGGGGAGGGGAGGGGAGGGGAAGAAAGATTAGTTCCCTGGCTTCTCCCCTGAGCCAAATTCCTCCTCCACTTTGGTGCTTCCTGCTGCAATCTGCATTGTTCACTCTTCTGAACAAAATGTGAGCTGGTTCCACTCTCCTTCAAATCTCCCCATGAGGATTCCTTCCTAATCTTTCCTTCATGAGAGTTCCTTGGTTTCCTCTATAAAAACCAGATGTGTCCCATTTGTTCTGTACAGAAAAGCAAAGATATCGTTACAGTGAACTACCCAGGCCATGACATATAAAAGAATTCCAAACAACCATTCCAAAGCATTGAAGGCTTTGAAAGCTTAACCCAGAGGAAGAGTCTTCTTTGAAGCCTGTCTTCTACCCTGGAAGCCGCCCCTGACCTGGAACAGCTTTGGCCTGCTTCCCAGAAGGTGCAATGTGCTGACACGAAGTAAAACTCCCTTGTCCATTCTGCCCTATAACCTAGGATCAGATCAAAGCAGCTAAGGCAAGGCCTCTAAGGATTAGATTCTACTCCATCCAGGCCAGATGCCAATGT